AAAGAGTAATAAATAGCTCTATAAGTTTTAGTTATTATTATTATTTGCTCCAAATTCCACAGGAGCTTGGGGGGGTTGGTCAGCACCTAGCCTTCTAAGGGCCATGGAGCCAATCTCTCTCTCATTTGTGCCCCTGATTTCTCTAACAGGGTTAAAGTTATAATGCTCATGAAAACCTATTAAAACCTCCAGGACAGCAAGAAAGGAAGTGAAGGAGAAAAGCAGTAGGAATTAAATTGCCAAGGACCAAGTTTGGGGATTCTGAACCACATCAAGGAGGGTTCATATGTCTATAGAGACCATTGGGGAGCACCAAGGGCTGAGAGTGAGGTCTCTGGGTCTATTCCAACTGGCCATCTTTTGGGCATGTGACTGTGGACAGTAAGTCCTATTCCCCAATGGTCCTAGGGCCTTCTTTCATTGTGTCTAAATTGTGGGAACTGGAGAATTTGGAACCAAGGACCCTTCCCAATGTTTAGAAAAATGTTGAAAGACTTTGTCTTGGAGTGAGACCTAGGCCCAGGCTGTGCGCGGTTTTCCAGCTCTTTAGGAGACGTACTTGTGGACTGTAAAAGCCCCAATTCTGGAGTCAAATAGGTATGGTTTGAATCCTGATTCCGCACAAACTAGTTTGGTGATCTTCATTGAGCTACTTAAAACCTGTGGGCCAGTATCTTCTTTTTGTGACGATATATGAATATATGAATGTTTTATGTGCATATGAAGCTGCTAGCAGCGTCTGATGTGCAACAGTGTTCATAAGCAGTAGGTACTTTTTTTTTTTTAAGCAGAATTTCTGGGCTGATCTCAAGTTGCTTGAAAATCGGACTGATAACATTACGAAGAAAACAAGGGAGTAGGAGGACGCAGGCGCCCCCACGTGGTAAGTGCATTAACTGCAAGGGCAGTACCTTTATTCCAAACTCGGAGCCTAGTGAGTGTATGTGCTCAGTAAGTGCAGCTCTTCCTCACACCAGCTCTGTGGCCTTGGGCAAGTTCTCTCCATGATGATGGGACAAGAGGGTTTAGACTTGGTATTCTCTGGGACCCCCTCGTGATCTTCAAATGTGTCAGGCACCCAATTCAGGCAGCCTTTTTCCTAGTGGGTGGGTTCAGTTTTCTTCCCGTTTCATTCGACTCTCCCAGAACAGTTATTGGAACTCTTACCAATACTAATGTGCCCAAATCCTTAGCAACTGGTGTCCTATAACCCCATTGTAGTCTTATAGACTCCAGCCCCATATCCTCCTGTAAGGAATGGACTACCAGGGACTTCTCAGGCTTGTCCTTGTGTAGACAGCTAGGTTTTAAGCTGCATTTGTGCCCCTGATTTCTCCAGGACCTTGACAGCTGACCTGGGACTGTTCGACTGCTCGACTTTCATGGCTAAACAGGACTTAGTTTCCCGGTTAAGTTCTAGGCCCTCGCAATTCTAGTGAACTCGCAATGCACATGGTTTACACCCTAGATGGAGCTGACCTAGTCAGTTTGCTCAACACAGACTTGCTGACGGGACTAAACCGGAGCCCAAGAGCAGGAGTCTTAACCTGGAGATACGGAGGAGTTTTCAGAGTCCCAGTGGTGTGACACATCTCAGGCTGTGTGCACCTTTCTGGGACAGTGGGCACGGCTTTTGTTACATTTTTAAAGCGGTCTTGTGGACCCAAAAGTTAAAAAGCCATTGCCCCACATGACAGGAATGACTTACTCCAAGCATTCTCTACACAGGATCCTGCAGGAAGCCTTGGAAGTGTGTTCCAGTCCCATTACTCGCAGTCCCGCTCAAATCTCAACACAGCTGGGCAATGAGGGGAGACACCAGGTCTTTGGGTGGATGCAGGAAAACACACCAGAACTAAAACATGCTGTCCCCTTCAGTGTGTCAGCCCCAGAAGACCTGAAAATGTTGCCCATCACTTCTGCTTCCTTCGCTGGGACTAGCTTTCAGGGCCTACAGCGCATTTTTCAGTAGCTCTTCACTGGTGGCAACTATCTATACTTTGAAGGGGCATTTAGAATTAAGATCAGTGACAAAAATTGGTCAGGTGATGCAGTTGTTTGGGATTCCAAACTAAATATAGCTAAGCAGCCTAGGCCGAGAGGAGCAGGTTCTGGACAGCGTCTACAGGGAGTCTCAGCATGCCTGCAACATTGGAACATGGTTTTCTAGGTGGCTACTTTGGATGGGTGGCTTCCAAACCATTTTGAAGCCTCATTATTCGAGTCACAATAAAGGTACTGTTTTCTACTCGGAGAACATCAACCTGGAGTCTCCAGGAGGAGCATTTGGGGGCCCAAGGTTTCATTTTTACCAACAAGAATGTGTAAGACCCACTGAGACCAGAGCCACTTTCTTCCAACTCAAGATTTCAGAGCTGCTGGTCCAAAGTCAGGGATGCCAGCCCCAATTCAATGTGACCCTACCGAGGCAGAATGCTACATCTACATGGTTTACACCTAATTGTAATTCACATTTCAGATGAGCACATCCGTTTTCAAGAAGAGGCAGCACAAATGACTACAGCCATTGTAAGAGGTGCTTACTAGTGTTTATTAGTATTGACTAATTTGAATGAACGTCTTGAAATCAGATTCACTGATTAGGAGTTGGTAACTGCCCAGTGATTAGTAAAAACCTCTTACAAACCCAGTCGGAGAAAGGGGGTGGTCACATGTTTATTTCTCAGGTGAAGCAGGGCCACCACCCTGGAGGACTGAAGGCAGTCACGAGAACAGGTGTGTGTGTGTGTGTGTGTGTGTGTGTGTGTGTGTGTTTTCTTCCCTCGAGAGGAAAACCTCCCTGCATAGGGGAACCTCCTGGGCCCAAGAGCCCCAGGGCGCCTCGCAGGCTCTGTCTGATTCCTCTGTTCTTGTCAACCAGAGCACAGCTGTGTGATCATCTCTCTACAAAACCTGTCTCCCAGGCTTCAGTCAGAAGAGTGAACGCGCAATGCACAAACCCCAAGACACCTGGACTTTGAAAGACTAGGTCTATTTTCATGTCCCCTTCACTTGGGGTATTTCATTCTCCTTGTTAGTGAACAGTCAGTCTTTCTGCTAATGCCCCTGCCACAGCCACTGGAGGGGAGACAAGAGTCCCCCTAGGGCCAGAGCGGGACAGAACGGCAGCACTCCCAGGAGGCTGCGGGTCAGAAACCAAAGCAAGTGTCCAGGGGCAGGGAGACCCGGAGGCCCTACTTCCCAGGCTAAGCCTTGAAGCTTGAAGGCTGGTCCTTGGTCACGGGATGATGGCATTTTTGTGTTCTAGCTTCAAGCAGGGCAAGGATGCAATCTGAAGAGGAGAGTTCCATGTCACAAAAGGACTTAATAAACAAAAATCAATCACTTCTACTCCAAAAGCAGTTTTCCAAATAGCTGCTTCTCATGCACTCAGTATCCTAGTCAGTATGTCATGTTCCAGGGACTCGGGGCTAGGGGTGGGGTCATCCAATCCTGCCCCCCTCCTGCTCAGCTCCATTTAGTGAATGTTCAGTCAATATAAACCTAACTTGCACAGCTGTCAATCCCAAGCCAAACATAATCACCGCTAAATCTGCTCTGCTCACTCCCTAAAGGCATTCAAAAGTCAAATATGCAGGATTAATGCCCTCCAACTGTCACAATGACTTGACCTGTGCTTCAAAAGGTTTTATCGTGGCCAGAGGTGAGACTAAGGGGATGGGAGGGATTTACCTGGACACATGCTCCCTGGCTGCTTCACACACCATATTAAGCCCCTCATTTATTCTAAAGATGCCAGGATTGCTAGCCTATCCCCTCCCTGCAACCCACCCCCCACTCCCGCCCCCATACCCTTCTCCCCAGCCACTTCCCAACCATCTGGGAACTGCGTCCTTTAGAATATCAAAATCAACCTCCTCCGAGGATACATTTCATCTGGGGAAGCAATCAAGTCTGGTGAGCTCAGAGGCTGAGACAAGCTGGATAGCCCCTCTGGAGCAGAGCAGTCATGACTATATAAGGTCTTCTGGTATTGTATGTGATTTTGTTCTGGAAGCCATTCCTAAAGGGAAGTGGCTGAACATTTTCAGCAAGGACTTCATCACAAGGCCAACATAAATCCTGGGGGTGGGAGTGGTGGTGGCATTTTTAGTTTTAAAGCTCTTTTTCCCTCGTAGTTGCTAGAGTTCTCCCCCTGGATGATCCCTACATTCCATAGGTCTGGCTGTTCCTGAGCCTATTTAAAAGCTTTTCTGATTTGACATAGCATGGTGGTGATTTTGTATGTGTGTGTGTGTGTGTGTGTGTGTGTGTGTTTCTGAGCTGCTCAAAAACAGGGGTGCTCTGAAAAGTCAATGCCCACCAGTTGCCCAGTGGGTTGGTATAAGCCAACTGTGAGGCTGGAAGCCACCGGAGACAGTACTGAGTCGGGGTGGATTTTTTTTTTTTATCTGGGTCCCTTCCCCGACTCCCCTTCCCACCTCCTCACTTTTAAGATGAAGCAATTCAGCAATTCTGGAGCCTAAGAAGGTGAAGACAAATGGATAAAGGAGACATTTCTCTCCTCTCCCATTGGTGTGGAGCACAATAGAGAAGTGGAAGATGGGAGGGCACCTCAAGGTGACCCTCGGCACACACTTAACTCAGGTGGCTGGAGCGATCACTGCCCCTAAGCTTCGCCTCATGTTCCCACCCTGTGATCCCTGAGGGGAGCTCTAAGAACGGCCACTGGGTGTCAGCTGACGGACCACAGGAACCTTCGTTAACTGACCGTTGACCCAGCCCTCTCTCAGGAAACCAAAGCCTAGAGATGAGCTGCCAAGGTCGACCACTAGTCAGCGCAGGGCCAGGATGCGTGTTCCTTCAGCAGTGACCGCACAGACCGAGGACCTGGCCATCTGCAGACAGGAAGGAAGGAAACAATTTTAGGTGCTGCCTGTGAGCGGATCGAGGAAGGGACCACTGTGACTCACGATTGCCTTGCAAAAGCCATCATCACCCCTCCCGGGAAAGACATGTGAGGGAGGAGGAGAAAGGGAAGAGGAGTACAGATAAATTTATTAGTTAAATACTGATTTTACAGCCATTTCACCTTAAGACAATGTTAACGCGTTTGTGGGTTAGGGAAAGTATTGTATATGAGGGCGGCCTTCAGGAAAGAAAGCAATGTAAATGATGATTAAAGCAGAATCTTGGTTTAGAGATATTCTCTGCTACAGCCTGTAGGATTTGGGGGTGGGGTGGGAGCGGGTTGCTCAGGGTAGGACGCAGTCGGTGACACTCTGGATAAGGAGGACACGGAGGGAGGAGTCTGTGAGCTCCGGCATCACAGGCAGAAACAGCAACGTGGAGCTAGGAAAAAGGCCAATTCCAGTCCAGCACCGGAGAGTCCCCGAGGCCCAATTCAGTGTCTTCTCTGAGCCGCCGTCCTCTTTCTTTTCAGGAGTTTTGTCGTGTTTGCTTTGAATTTATGTCGCGAAATCGCTAGCTTTTCACCTCTTGGACAACAGGTTTCTGCTGGAGAAGGATGCCAGGTGCACCACTTGGGTGGACTCGCTGCCTGGCCCAGAAGCCCAGCTCCGCAGAACAGAAGTGGCGTCAGCAAGATCCAAGTGCAAGCGAGTCAGAATCCACGGAAAACCCTGCTCCCGATTCAGTGGCGGCCCAGCCCCAGGGTGTCCAGACAGCCTCTCCAGAGGGAATTCAAGTCTTAGGTCAGTGTCGGTCAAACTCGCTTTAGCAGCAAAACCTTTTTTGTTCTCACTCAGAACCCCCTGTGCATGATGGGGCGGAGGAAGGATTTTGAGGGGCAGACTTGGGGGGCTTGATGTTCGGCTAAACTGCTGAGCTCCTGTTTTGCTGAGGGAGAGACACGGCCAAGCTGAAGGCAGGCTGAATCGCACAGAGCGGTGGAAGGGATTTTTCTTTTCGGACGCCTTGGGGTGAAGAGAAGGAGCGAAGGGATGAGGCCCTGAGCCGGGAAAAGGAACGTGGGGGAGGCGACATTGCCAAGTTGAGATTCTGCGGTGCCATACCGCATGCTGGGTGAGGCAGCCTCTCCTCCTTCTCCCCACAGAGCACCCAGTGACACGGGCGACGCCCACCGTTCCTGGAGCCGGGATTCAGTACTGAGAGGTGCAGGGGTGTGCTGAGCCCGAAGGGGAGTGTTGGGCACGGGCAGGAGCTGCCTGGAGGGGCCTGTCACATGGAAAGGCAGGCACATGGATGCGCTAGCTCAGGCGGGAGCAGGGTCCCAGCACCGGCCCCTCTCCCCACCCTCAGATCCCGGTGCTGGGATCACCAGAGGGAAACCACCGTCTCAGGCCATAGTGATGGGAGGGTAGAGAAGAACAGCTCCTCTCTCGTCAGGGTGGAGTGGGGCAGAGGACGAGAAAGAAGTCTCCGGCTCCATGGAAGGGACTTGAGTGTGCTCCTCGTGAAGGGTGGGTGCGTCTGGACCAGAGTCTGGGCTCGTCCCGGCCCCTCATGTTGAAGAGGCATCTGATGAAATCCTACACCCACTCCCCTAACCAAATCATGGACTTCAAGTTTCTTCCCAGGTGTTCCGGAGTCACTGCCAGGCGGAGCAGGACGGCTGCTGGGAGCCGGTCCTCGCCCCCTGTGGTTCTCCAAGTCCCAATCTGTGCAGGAATCTGAGGAGGGAGGGAGGCGACATTATGCGGTGATTATGTCCCCGTGACTGTCGGCCAAGGCCAGGCTGTTCCAAGGGTCCTGCTTGGAGCTGGCCTGCGGTGACTGGCTGACGGAAGCTGCGTAGCCTTGCGGGGAGAGCTTCAGGGATGAGAGGACCGGGTGGATGGACGGCCCGTGGCCGGACATGGCGCTGACCGAGAACGTCTGCAAAGCAAAGAGGGCAAGGTGAGGTCAGTGGGGTCACTCCTGAGGGCTCAGGAGGGGGAGCCCCATTAGGTGATGTGCCCAGGCTGGCTCCCACACCTAAGAGGGGGACCGGAGGAGCGGCCAACGGACAAGGGCAGGATCCGGGACCCCGCAACACTGCCGTTTTCTCCGCCCTGTGCTGTGGGCGCAGAGGGTCTGTGTGATTCATCACCTGCCCCTGAGCACCATGACCAGTAGGTACAACTGCTCTGGTTGTTCTGAAGGCTCTGATAGTTACCCAAGACATTTGCTACAATCTCATCAGCACCCCACTTTCAAACAGTAGCTGTCTTCCCATCTTGGAGGGGCTCCTGGCTCTGCTGGTTCTACAAAGGGCTAGTCAGACATGGCCTCCCGCAAGTATGGGTGGGGAAGAGGTCAGAGTTAATAGGAGACTGTGACCCGGAACATCCCGATCCCAAAGGAGGGGAGCCTCGGAGGGAAGGGGTTCAGGAGCCATCATTTCCCAAAGAAGAGAATGAGGGGACTGCTGGTCCATCTTCTGGGCACACGAGGAAGATGGCCCTGCAGCTGGCCCTCGTGAAAACAACATCCTGCCTGTGATCTCCTCATCACCCCCAACCCACCCACCCGGCCCTCTACAGTTCCATGCCTCGGCCCAGGCCAGGAGGGTCCTCCTCCTTTCTTTCCTCCTCCTAACAAACATCTATGCATCCTTCAAGGCCAAGGTCAGATCACCCCTCCCTTAGGAGACAGAGGAGCTGCCGAACTTTTGTCTCTCACAGGTGTCCAGATCACTGTGGCTTGATCGGATGTGCCCGCAGCTGCTACCCTCGAGTGGGGCCCTGAGGGCAGCCAGCAGCCAACAAGCCCCTCGGTCACGTGCTCCAGACCCCAGTGCCGGCCTGGCCCCCTGGTGCTCTGGAACCTACTTCTCCAGGGGCAGTCCTGTTCCTCACCCAGGGGCGCACCTGGGACATGGAGCTGCTGTGGCCGTAATGGGACCCCAGCCCTGGCTCTGTCTTGATAGGGCGCATCTCTTCGCTGCTGCTGGTGGTCGCGGTGCTGGAGTTGCTGGAAACGCTGCTGGTAGGAGGGAGGCTCTCACTGCCAGAGGGACCTGGAACAAGGCAGAGTCAGTCAGGACACCGAGCAGAGCAGAGGCAAGGACAAAGGGGTGGCCGTCCTTTGAGACAGCAGGGTAGACCCATGCTACTGGCTTATTTATATTTGCTGGGGCGAAAGCAGGGGTCTTTTGTGGGTGGAGGGTATCAGTTCCTAAAATGAAAATTTCAAGGGAACTTTTTGAAATGACAGGGACATCACCCCTTATCCCAAACCCCTTGAGGCCACAGGTGTTTCAGGATTCAAACCTTTTTTATTTTTTATTTTAATTTTTAAAAGGGCATATACTGGCACTAGCCAGTTTGGCTCAATGGATAGAGCGTTGTCCTGCGGACTGACAGGTCCCAAGTTCGATTCTGACCAAGGGCACATGCCCGGGTTGTGGGCTTGATCCCCAGTAGGTGGTGTGCAGGAGGAAGCCAATTAATGATTCTCTCTCTTCATTGATGTTTCTCTCTCTCTCTCTCTCTCTCTCTCTCTCTCTCTCTCTCTCTCCTTTCCTCTCTGCAATTAATAAAGAAATATATTTTTTTTTAAAAGAAGGGGGGCGGGCATATACTGTACATTAGGGGACAACTCCAGTGAGGTCTGGGACAACACCCACATTGAAATGCATGAATAGTTCTACAGCAAAACATGGGAATAGTCACAAGTGGGGCAAATAAAAGACAATACACAGCCTGTGTCTGTTCAGATTGGGTTTTGCTGCCAAACCCATCCCCTGGACTTTAAGTTTCAGATAGGGGATTGTCCACCTGAACCAAACACCTGCTCTCTGGCGTGGGGCGGGTTACTTATGAACAGTGCGGAGCCAGGAGAGAGGAAGGGGACCACGGGGGAGAGACACCGGAAGGTCTCATGAGACGGGGCTGCCGGAGGGGTGAGCGCGGCTGAATCTGGGAAAGGACAACCGTGGTCGTGTTCTCGGGAGCGGAAAGGGGAGGTTATCTGACTCTGCAGGGCCAGCTCCCCATCAGCTCAGCTGGCTTATGTTGCAGGGACGATGGCATTCCCAGTGAGAGCTTTCCTTCGGGAGCAGCATAGGGAGGAAGGGCTCTGGGAGGAAACAGAAGTGGTCCTCAGCCTTCATCTAGAAGTTGAGAAGGCAGGGTGGTGCCTTGCACAGCGTTTGGACCCTGACATGTACAAACATGTGTCTGACTGCCCATCCTCAGCTGTGTGATTCTGGTTACGCCACTGCCTCCTCTGAGCCTCAGCTTCTTGTTCGTAAAACGGAGACAACAAGTGGGGTCACGTGGGGGTCTTTAAAGATCAACGAGAGACTATTTGTGAAGAAACTCTCTAAAGTATGAAGTACCGCATGATGTTAATTATACGCTGGCTTACAAACCAGTCTGTCGTGACCATGACTAGACTAGATCCCAAAGATGGGGGGACCGAGGAATGTTCCCTTTTCCCTCAGGCCCTCGACCAGTCCAGCTGGCCCAGGACAGCCTTTGTGTGACTGGCAGTGATCAGCCCTGTTTCCAGAGCTCCAGTATGTCCCATGGTGATGTTACGTTTCTACTGGGCTCCTCATTGTGTCCTGAAGAGCGAGGGGTGGATGTTGCTGACGTTACATCTTGACTCCCCGGGCCGGCTCACCTTACCAAGAACACATTCCCACACCCTCCAAGGTCTTCAGACTCATTCATGTAATTACATGCAGAGCTCTTTCCTCACCTGCTGGCGTCTTAGATTTATTAAGGTTCTTGGGCTTCCGTTTTCTGGTTTGGATCCCCTCTTTCCGCATCGCAAGAGGCCTGGGAACCTGCGATTACAAGTCGGTAGACATGGTTTTCCATTTGTACATGATCAGCGACAGTATTTCGATACACACATTACGGGAAGGCAGCATCTAAGCAATTCCTCTGTAAACCTCAGCACTGAGACTAAGGAAATCAGCCCCTGGAACTTCTGAGAGAGAAATAAATTCTATTCTTTTAAAAAATGTATTTAGCCTCCTTTATGACATCCTGGGTATCAAACTAGACCCTGAAGAAACAGACACTGGAGGGCACAGATCCTTCCCTCCAGAGGTTCTATGTTTAGTGGGAAGGACAGACAACTAGAACAAAACCAGACTCATCAGTGCTGGGGGAGAACTCTGTCCTGGGTTGGGGTGGGGAGGGAATGGCACAGGAGCACAGCAAGGAAGGCTTCCCGGAAGAGGTGACATCTGAGTTGTAGGGGGCAGGTATTTCGAGCAGCAGGCACAGTGGGTGCCAAGGCGTTTCATTCATCAGCCCCGTCAGGACACGGTGAGAGCGGAAGGGCGGTGCTCTTCTCAGTGAGGACGCCAAGGAAACAGGCATACACTGGATAGTCCCAGGGAGTGAAGGTGTAAAGACACTGCCTATAGCAGCTCCTCATTGCACTGAATCTGACCACAGCCAACAGTGGTGTTTCCATGGGAGCAGCAAAAGCTGGAGAGATGGACCTGTGGCCAGGTGCTGAGATAAACTGTCCGAGGACTATAGTTATATCGCATCTGACTTCTCACTGGCAGGTGTCACTCACAGAGGCCTAAACCAGTGCCTGTGGAGCAAGCCTGCATCTTTCTAATGTTTTTCAATACTTTGCCTTCCCCACATCTGGTTTCTTTTAGGCCTGGCCCACAATAGCCGGTCTACGGGTAGTCTCCCATATGGGACTAATGAAGGCCACACCTGCAAACACTGAAAGAAAAGCAATCACCACTAATCAGAGATGTCAACACGGAACCGTTAAGAGAAGTGCACCAGCGTACATGATCTTGAACTTGCCTTCTAGTGAACTGAGGGCCAGATGAGCCAGCACTTCCAACTTTGGGCGAAAGTGTACTCAGACCCTGGTAAAGCCCATCCCAACTTCAAATGAATCTTGCCCTCTTCTTTATCCCCACCCACCTCAGTACTTTTTTTTTTTTTTTAATTGTGGTAAAATACACATAACAACCCAGACCAGTTTTCTCAGTGGATAGAGAGCATCAGCCTGAAAACTGAATGGTCACAGGTTCCATTCTTGGTCAAGGGCATGTGCCTCAGTCACGGGTTTGGCCCCTGGCCCTGGTTGGGGCACATGCAGGAGGCAACCAGTGGATGTGCCTCTTTTACATCGATGTTTCTCTCTCTCTCTCCCCCTTCCACTCTTTCTAAAAATCAATGGAAAAAATATCCTCAAGTGAGGATTAAGAAACAACAAATACACATAACATAAAATTTACCATCTTAATCTTTTTTTAAAAAATTGATTTCAGAGAGAAAGGGGGGGAAGAGAGAGAGAAACATCAAAGATGAGAGAGAATCGTCGATTGGCTGCCTCCTGCAGGCCCCACACTGGGGATCCAGTTCACAATCCGGACGTGTGCCCTAACACAGAATTGAACCATGAACTCCTGGTTCATAGGTTGATGCTCAATCACTGAGCCACACTGCTCGGGTACCATCTTAACCATTTTTAAGTATACAAGTCAGTGGTTTTAATAAGCACAGTCACAATGTTGTGCAACCATCACCACCATCATCTCCAGAACTCTTTCATCTTGCAAAACCAAACCTCTGTCCCCATTAAATAACTCCCCATTTCCCCTCTACCCTTGCCCCTGGCAACCACCATTCTACTTCCTCCCTCTGAATTTGACCTTTTGTGGTTGACTTATTTCACTCAGCATAATGACTTTAAGATTATTCCATGCTGTAACGTGTCAGAATTTTCTTTCTTTTAAAGGCTGAATAATATTCTATTGTATGTACATATCACATCTTGTTTATCCACCCACTTACCAATGGACATTTGGGTTTCTTCCACCTTTGGGCTATTGTGAATAATGCTACCATGAACATGAGTGTACATTGCTTTCAATTCTTTTTGGAAATATACCCAGAGATGGGACTGCTGTGTCATATGGAAATTCTACTTTTAATTTTTTTAATATCCACATTATATTCCTCTATAATCCACCCTTACCCCCAATTAGAGAACAATTGTTTCTTTAACCATTTTCTTCCTGGAGCTTTTTCTCCATTTTTACTATTACAGTGATTCAACAAACATCCTTGTATACACTCCTTGAAGAATACACAAGTGTATTATCTTATGAATGTTCTTAACTATATTTTAGCCACTTTTTGCTCATTAAGATGAAAACACACATGAGATTAAATTCATAAAACCCCTCCCAGCCCCCTACCATCAATCCTGTCCCCATGAGGCAATTGGAGAAATAGCCTATGTTCCTTACATTTTTAAAAATTCTCAAACTTGTATGCACTTACATATATCTAAACATATATGTATGTGTGTACTCATCCATCCTTCCATCTGTGTATATGTCTAATGTATCTTCACCTCCATAGTATAGGGTTATATTATGTATATATTTCTTTGCAATGTGTTTTTTTTATTACTCTAGGTCAAGTACACATTCTTTTTTAATTTCTGTGCAATAGTGTGCATCATAGGATATGCCATAATTTACTCAACCATTTCTTTATGAGGCTTGAAGATTGTTTCTAGTTTTTGCCAATACAAACACTGCAGCAATAAATACTTCAAACATCACTATGTATTGATTCTTTTATTGTTTTATAGGCTAGTTTCTCAAAAGTAGAGCTGCTACATCAAAAGGTATGTGTGTTTTTAACCTTAGTAAGTACTGCCAGGTTAATTTCCTGAAATAATATCTGTAATAACTGACATACAAATCAGCAATATACAGTATGAGAGTACTTGTTTTCTCAAATCCACTCCACTCTATATTATCATGCATTTTAATTTTTGCCAAACACATGGCAACACAGGAAACCTCAAGGTTGTGTTAACTGACACTTCCCTGATTTTTAGTGAGGACCAGCCTCTCTGCACATGTTCAGTGGCTAACCTGGGTGGCTTCTGTGAATTATAAGTTTACTTCTTTTGCCCATTTGGGGAAATGGGGGAAGACAGATTGTTAGTTTCTTATTATTCTGTAGGAGCTCTTTTTTTGTTTGTTTTACTTGTGTTGTTTTAATTTAACTTATATTTGAACAACTAAGACATGCACCATTTAAAAGTGACAAAAGGGGTAATCAGTGAAAAAAGGGTCCCTCCAACTCTCCTATTACTTCTCCTAGAGCAACCCATGCTACATGCTATGTTTCTTATGTGTTCTTCCAGGTGTTCTCTGTGTAAATGAGCAACAACATATAAATTACGTTCTTTCTCTTTCTTCATAAAAATGGTGCCATGCTGTGTACAACATTCTACACTGACTTTTTAATAGCACTGAATAATGGAGATTGTTGCAAATCAGAACATGAAGAGGTCTGTAAAGCTCCCTGTATTCTGAAAATATGAACCCTTTTTCTGATATGTGTATTGGTTTTTACTTTCCTGAGGTATCCTTTTTCTATACACTAATATTAAATGTTCTAGAATCAAATATACCTGACTTTTATCTTATGCCTTAAGAGTTCTAAAAACTTGTCTAACAAGTTTTCCTCTCACCCACAAGGTTATACAAATGTCATCTCCTACATTTTCTTCTAGTATTTTTATTGCCTCTATTTAAAGATATTTTACATTTCATATCTTTAATTCACCCAAGCTTATTTTTGGCTTTGGTAGGAGGTGGAGATCAAGCTTTGCTTGTGTTTTCCAGATTTTATTAATACAATTATTTTAAGCTATCCTTTATCCATTGAACTACTTCTTCCCCCCATACTAACCATATATAGAGACTACTCTGAGTCTCCTCATCTGTAAATGGGAATTAGACTTATATAATGTTAAAGATGAAGTGAGTGGCAATGTTTCTGCTATGGTATGAAATTCTGTGTCTCCCTAAAATTCATGTTAGAAACCCATCCCCAGATATGATAATGTCAGGAGCTGGGGCCTTTGGGAGTTGATTAGGTCATGGGGGGGAGCCCTCACAAATGGGATTAATAGCCTCATAAAATAGACTCCAGAAGCTCCCTCATGCCCTGCATGTGACCTAGCCGAAACCAGTTTGGCTCAGTGGATAGAGGACGGCCTGTGGACTGAAAGGTCCCAGATTTGATTTTGGTCAAGGGCATTTACCTTGGTTGCAGGCACATCCCCAGTAGGGGGTGTGCAAGAGGCAGCTGATGGATGATTCTCTCTCTGATGTTTCTAGCTCTCTATCCCTCTCTCTTCCTCTTTGTAAAAAAATTATTAAAATATATTAAAAAAAAAAAAAAGTCTGTGACCTAGAAGAGTACCCTCACTCCACTATGCTCGTACAGTGATCTCCAACTCCCAGCCTCCACACTGACAGACATAAATTCCTATTTAGAAGTTCCCCCCATCTGTGGTATTCTGTTGGAACAGCCTGAATGGACTAATGTAATCTGTATGGTTCCTTCCATATCTAAGTATCTCTGTTAAGAAGGAAAAAATAAATTATAGTTTGAAGGGAGAAAGACCCCTGAGGACTGAGCGATGGGTATGAAAGAGCATGGGTGCTGGTCGAGGTGGTGGTCCTGCATTGGGGGCGGGGGGACTACTTACGCCGTGGAGCTTCATGTACAGGCCGCAGGCGTTGCACACGGGCTCGCCCTCCGCGTTGCGGCGCCACAGCGTGGTGGTGGTGGTCTGGCAGTTGGCACAGGAGAGGCCCACTCGGCGGGAAGCGGACTGCAATACACGAGAGAAACCCTTCAAGTCCAAATAAAAGGCGGGCGCTGTGCTTCTGCCTCGCAGGGAGGGAGTGCTGCGGGGCTGGGCCTCCCCTAGGTGGGAGCAGGCGATCATATTCCTGTGTGAGCATCTCAGGCCAGCCAGAGCACCAGGCCTCCCTTCACCAGAGCCGAGCCGCTCCTGGGGCGGGTGGCTGGGTGGGGAAACTTCTGCCCTGGGAGAAGAGTGAATGCTAGTCCTGATTGGCTTAGTGACATTATTGGTCATTCATTGTTAGATGGACAGTCCAATGAGCACTGGGCACTGGAGGCAGAAAAGTAGAATTAATATGATATTCAAGTGGTGGGTGAAGATTTATTGTATCCAAGTGTCATCAGAGACTGGATGGGCCGCGGGACCTCAAGAAAGGGAAACATCAAGGGTTAATCTCCTCTGTTCTCCCCTCCCTATATACATGAAAGCCAGTATGTATTGGTCAAAATAAAATTATATTAAGAAGAGCCCACGAAACAAAGAACCAAGAAACTCAATTGAAACTTTTCCTCAGCCACAGGCCAAGTACACACTGTTGAACTTCCCTGGGATTTGGGTTGATCAACTGAAAAATGAGTAAGTAACAATGACTACAGACGAGTTGACCTTCCTCATGGGATTGATGGGAGCACAGGAGACGTACAAGAGAACACTGGATTGGGAACCAGGAAGTCTGGACTCATTCATAGGCAAGCCTCACTTTTCACTTTTGCACAATTAAGGGCTTGAATTAGATGTTTTTTAAAAAAATTAATAAATAGAAGCCTAATTTCAATGGAAGTTGGGAGGGGCTGTCAGGGGAGTCTCATGTGGTACATTCATTACTCCAAACAAGAGACATATTTTCCATCTCCAATAGGAAGATGCTTTTCTACTCTACTACTCCAGCAGGTAGAAGGAGGGTCTTCTCCTCCCCCTACAACACTTACAGCTCAGCCAATGAAAAGCCGCCATACTTCTAACTCCCAGTTTCCTCCAATGGACTCTGTGTTTACACAGCTCCTCCTTCCCCTGTGTAAGAATGTTCCCCTCCTTTGTCACCTGGGCTTGGCATGGTTTACCAGTGGACCACATGCCCTGAATTACAAATCTTTGTTGTTGCAGAATAGACCCATTTTGCCATAGAGATATCTGGCTCTTTGGTCAAGGTCAAGTCTGGAAAACCTTGCAGCTCAAACTAACTTAATTCTAAAGGTGTGAGAACTATGTAGCCTCCACCCACCAACCCAACCCCTCAAACGATACCTTCTTCTAAAGATGACTTGAAATCCAAAATTCAAAACCAGGAAATGTCTCACCAAGGTAGGAACCTTGAAGCCAGGTGCTAAGAAGAGCAAAATGTGCCCCACCCCCGTCCCAGGCTGTTGGACTTCTGTGGTCTGGGAATTTGCTTACCAGCCGGCGCTGGGGCTTGATGAGGGGCCGGTTGATGCCGTTCATCTTGTGGTAGAGGCCACAGGCGTTGCAGAGGTAGTGCCCTGTCCCATCCCGCCTCCAGAGTGGGGTAGACATGGCCCCACAGTTGACACACTCTCTGCCTTCCGAGAAGTCATCAAACATATCTACTGGGTGGGAAATAACACAGAAGACTCATTACTTGTTTATTCATATTAACCTCATGTCAGAAGATCTAGAGACCAAAGAAATAATGCCCTTTCCTTTCAGGGAGTGCAGGATGGATAGCTTTGGGGCCTCGCTTTGACCTTCCCCCTCTGGGGATCTATTCTGCTCAGGGGACTGTCATGGGAAATGGACATGTTTACTCTTGGACATCCCAGACACAGCAGGGCTCTCCCCACTCAGGAGACAGGAAGAAAGTCTGGCAGCAACCCCCAGCAGCCTGATGTCAGTCCCTCATCTCTCCTTCTGAGCCTGTAATCCTGAGGTTTTTATCTAACACTCACGTCCACTCTGACCTTCTGGCTCTCTCTTTTTTCCTTTCAAAATTATGATTCCTTTGAATAAAAATTATAAATATTTACTTCAGTAAAATTAGAAAACACTGAAATGTGTAAAGAAATGTAAATTACACATAATCCTATAACTCAAAGATCACCAGTGTTATTAGCATTTTTTTCTATAATATTATAGCCTTTGGAATACTTTACATACACTGACATACATTTTTGCCTGGTTGAGGTCAAGCTATATAACTATCTTTTCACTTAATGCCAAAGTCTTTCCCACATTAGAAAATCTTCATAAGCTCATCATAAGTGCAGTATAAGATCCCATCCTTAATGACCATCATTGACCTTTATTTAATGATTACCCAGTTTCTCACTTTTATTTTGTAAACATGGCTCATTTTGTACACAAATGTTAGCATTTCTGGTTATTTCTTAGGATACTCCCCTAGAAGTAGAATTAATGAACCAAAAGGGACTACATTTTCTGAAAGTTTTTAAAATTTCAAACTGCCTTGCAGGACCCCCCCCCCCCCCAAAAAAAAGCTATAATTCATTTCCTCATTTCAATATCCCTGTAGGATATTCTAAATCACAATTTGACATCTTTTCTTGCTTATTGTTACATAAAATAAAAGTACATGTGATAGCCATGGTAACAGACTTGATCACACTTCTACGGTAAAGTTGCCATCATGTGTCACTCCCTGCCCTCTCCCAGCCCCATTTCCTTTACCTTCCATGTCTATGGAATTTTACAGTCAGTAAATTCCACTCATGTCCATTTCAGTTGCCCTGGTGAAATCGGCTGGGCCACTTTTGTTATCCCCTACGATCTATACAAAGCCTAGCTCAGAACTTCCAGAAGTCTTATTTTGAAAGGTGTTTATATCTTTTCCAAATGTTCTCTGTCCCTAAATATAGCTACCGTGGTGTCCAGATTGTCCTTGTCCTACTATCGGAGGCAAGAGTGGATTCTTCTCTAGTAAGGGGGGGAGGCGATATTTGGAGGGGAAGGTTTTTTTAAAAAAAAATATATGTTTTATTGATTTGTCACAGAGAGGAAGGGAGAGGAATAGAGAGTTAGAAACATCAATGAGAGAGTCATCGATCAGCTGCCTCTTGCACACCCCCTACTGGGGATGTGCCCACAACCAAGGTACATGCCCTTGACAGGAATCGAACCTGGGACCTTTCAATCTGCAGGCTAATGCTCCATCCACTGAGCCAAACCGGTTTCGGCTGGAGGGGAGGGTTTTTAAGAACTCTCTCTCCATCAGGACCCAGCCCTGGGGTGTCAGGCTGCACATTCTGCCATCTCTGTGACCCCATGGTGCCTGCTCTAAGGAAACAGTGGGCTGAAGAAGAACATGCCCTCCCCTCAGTTCTGGGTACACAAACAGTCATTCGCACCTGCAAACAAGTAGCTGTGTGTCTACACCGAGTCAACAATGTGCAGGTGTGAGGGGCTGTTTGCTCAGGCCAGCGAGCTGAGCACACACTGGTCACAAGAGAGGCTATTTTTGTACCTGGGTCACACGGAGAACCCTGCAGCAAGGTCACCGGCCTGCACAGCCGCCCGAGAAAAGGAGACTCCGGTCCACAGCCTGCTTCCCAAGCCTGGGGGAGGCGTGGAGCGAGGAGCAACCTGCCACCACCTCACCACCATCAAGGCCACCTCCACCTTCGCTTCCGGGCGGGCTTGTACTGCCCTTGCCTGGGCCTGTTAGCCCTGCCACCTCAGCCAGGCCTTCCCTGAGGGAACTGGAAAGGCCAGGAGGGTTCACAGAAGGGCCTTAGGAGATAGAAGGACCCTTGCAATGTCATCATTTTGTTGAATGTTTGCAGTAAACGCTAGATGGCACTACAGCCTCAAAGTTGAACCAAGACCCTGCCTTCTGGTATAAAATCAGGCTTGGGAAGGGAGGACCAGTCTCACCAATCCCAACCCATAGGACAACCCTCTTACTCTTTTTTATATTATTATGAAAAAATTTAATCATATTCAAAACTGAACAGAATATAAACATAAACTTTTTTAAAAATTATGTTTTTATTTCAGAGAGAGGAAGGGAGAGGGATAGAGAGATAGAAACATCAATCAGCTGTCTCATGCACTTCCACCCGCCGGGATTGAGCATATGCCCTGACCAGGAATTGAACTTGCGACTCCTTGGTTCATTAGTTGATGCTCAATCACTGAGCCACACACCAGCTGGGAAAAATAAACTCTACTTAATCATTATTCAGCTCCCAACAATTGGTGCCCACTTTTGTCTCATATACCTTTCCCTACTTCCCCCGTCCTGTCCTGTAGAACTGGAGAAAATCCCACACATTCTACCATTTCATTTACAAATACTTCAGTATAGAGTTCTCAAGGTGATGATCATCTTCTTTTTAAAGATAAACAATCTGGCTTCTTTCCTATGTTCTGGAGACAAAAACCACATAATCTGTTCCTCTTTCTTTTCCCTTGACACTTACTGCGCTTTATTTTTAAAAAAATATATTTTATTGGTTTTATACAGAGGAAGAGAGAGGGATAGAGAGTTAGAAACATCAATGAGAGAGAAACATCGATCAGCTGCCTCCTGCACACCACCCACTGGGGATGTGCCTGCAACCAAGGCACATGCCCTTGACTGGAATCAAACCTGGGACCTTTCAGTCCGCAGGCTGACGCTCTATCCACTGAGCCAAATTGGTTTTGGCACACTTACCGTGTTATAGTTGGGGCAGACTCATAGAAGAGGCCGCCCTAACAACCCTTGACTGGTACCTGGCCTTTTTCTGCTTTAAGAAGCCAAAAGCTTGCCTCCCAGAATGGGATACACAGCCAAGCAACTACCGTGTTTCCCCGAAAATAAGACATCCTCCGAAAATAAGATCTACTTCCAGGTTTCCTTCTGAGTTAAATATAAGGCATCCCCCTGAAAATAAGGCCTATCTCCAGACTCTTGATATTGCAATAAACAAGCCATTCAAAGACAATTTGCGCATGGAAATTAATGACTACATTGAAAATAGAATGGAGAGAAATCAGCGTGGAAACTTTGTGAAACCTAAACTTGCAAGAAGTTGTGACTTGGGTGAAGAATTCATGGGAGAAAATCACTGACAGTTGCATTGCAAATGCACTGCGAGCAGGCTACCTTGACAAGAAGTACTCATTTAAAGACAGTGCTATTGCTAAACATGAGAGATTTGGTCCACTGACTCTGAAAGAAATGGAGTCACAAGAAATTCACCAGGAAATTCAGGAATTGGATTGTTATGATGATGTTCCAGAAGATGATGACATGATTGTCATTGAATAAATGAGTAAATTCTTGGTACTGTAGGATTCACAGTTTGTCTGGTTTGTGTTGACAACTACCGTACTACCGTACCGTATACAGGTAATAAATTTCCTTTATTTTCATTTAACAATAAATGTGTACCGTATTCTTCTTCATGGAAAAATAAGACATCCCCTAAAAATAAGACCTAGCGCATCTTTGGGAGCAAAAATTAATATAAGACACTGTCTTATTTTCAGGGAAACAGGGTATCTTACTGGCCAGGGAAAGGCATTGGAGGCTGGTCATACAACCATTTACTGAGCATCTGCTATTTAAGCATGTGCACAGATGTCACAGGGCTTATGGGGCAGACTTACTCTCAGAATGCTAAAGACCTAACTTGGGAAACTGAACCAGAACACCAATATTCGAGTAACAACGTTACTCAACTTATTTACAGAACATACCTTAACCAAGCTGGGGCTTTGGGTGGCAGAAACTTCTTGTCTAGGGGGGAAAGTGCAGGAGTCTAACTCAGATTGAGAGGTTGGGGTCACACCAGCAGCCAAAGGAAAGAACTGAATGGGATGGAAGTCCATCCTTCCTAAAGGCACTCTCCTCATCCCCCCATCCCCAGTAGACACATTTTCCCCACAACCCCCTACATCTATCTTCAAATCTGTACAAGTGTCCATCTTTTGTACCAGAAAATTGCCATCCAATTACCCAATGAGCAATTACATCATTTTAAGTGATTATTATAAAGACCACGTGACAATAGAGGAAAATGATTATCTGACATGTTAAATAAAAAAATGCAGAACATGCCGAAACCCGTTTGGCTCAATGGATGGAGCATTAGCCTGTGGATTAAGGTCCTGGGTTCGACTCCGGTCAAGAGCATGTGCACTGGTTATGGGCACATCCCCAGTGGGGGATGTGCAAGAGGCAGCTGATCGATGTTTTTCTCTCTCATCGATGTTTCTAACTCTCTATCCCTCTCTCTCTTCCTCTCTGTAAAAAATCAATAAAATATATATATTTTTTAAAAATGCAGAACATAAAACGCCATGTAAGGAACTTTTGTTAGGCTACTTAGATTGTATAAATTTATCTTTACAACAACAACAAAAACACCATCCTGTAATGTCATAATTGCCTGTTTGATTTAAAAAAATAAAAATGAAACAAATAATTTTGATCAGATTGCCTCAAACAACTCCCAGTCCACTATGGAGGAAGTAACTATATTTTCCCGCATATAAGACGACCCCCTAATTTTACAATTCAAACATAGGTTTGAGCCTATATTCGCTGTATAAGACTACCCCCCACTTCCGAGGCAACACCAGTTCTTTTTTTAATAGACCGCCT